CTGTCATTGTCTCTCAGCCACTCACAGGCGGCCCTCAGCCACCGCCAACTCCCGCAGTGCGTTGACTGGTCGGTGGTACGATGATCTAGCTCCGCGAATGCACATAATGGCTGACCGTAACAGTGCAAAGGCGAGACGACAGCGTACATATGTCGTCATCTCCGCATACTTCTTTTTCTCTCCCCTGGAAAGCAGACCACACAAACGCTTGATGAAACGCGAGCACTCTGGCGCACAACAACCGGCCGTGGTGAAAATGAGAGGAGTGAATGTACCACGATCCACATTGATTATGCGTTCAGCATACTCGGATTTCTTTCTGCGCTCGTGCTCTGCCAAAAGCTTCTCCAGTGGCTTCGCAGCATAGGAAGGCGCATCAGGGTGAAATACTCGAACGTCCATGTAGGCGTTCTGAGCCCGGGTCCACAGCCCCCTCGCGCGAATGTCTGCCCGGGCATCATCCGCTGTATTTGTAGACGCCGCGACAAACACCTCACCAGAGAGTGGCGCGAGCACTGGCTCCACAGCAACATCCACGCACACCTCAGTCAACTTCAAATACTGTATCCTCCGGAGAGAGACAGTGCCTCCCAAACCTCTCTCCGAGACAGTGCCCACCCAATAATGTTATTGTTGACTCGGAGGTCCAGTTCCACGGAACTAGGCCTCCAGAATTTTGCCCTGCAAACTCATATGAACCAATTGCTGAGAGTGATTCTAGTGCTACAGGAAGGTTGTTCCATGGCACTCGCCCTCCAGAACATGATTTTTGCCATAATGTGCTCACTGATCCCCAGCAATCGGTTGACATGTCCAAATTCTTTGATTTATCAGACTGTTCAGCTTCCGCTGATCAGTTAGCTCAACTAACACATGTCTTGAACGGATTTTCGGATGTCATTGCCCAAAACGACTCTGAGATCGGGTGTACAACTACCATGAACCATACCATTGATGTTGGCAATTCACGTCCCATCAATCAGGCACCGAGACGTTTAGCCCCTACCAAGGCAAATGAAGTACGAAAACACGTCCAAGACATGTTAGATAGTGATGTGGTAGAGCCTAGTAACTCTCCTTGGTCTAGCCCTGTAGTGTTAGTGGCCAAGTCAGATGGTTCCACCCGGTTTTGTGTAGACTACCGGAAGTTGAATGCAGTTACGCTGAAAGATGCACATCCTCTCCCAAGGATAGATGACACACTAGATCATGTTTGGGGTGCGAATTTTTTCAGTACCTTGGATCTTCAGTCAGGCTATTGGCAAGTCCCCATGGACGAAGATTCCAAAGAGAAAACTGCTTTCAGTGCTCCCGATGGATTATTCCAGTTTACGCGTATGCCGTTCGGACTCACAAATGCTCCCGCCACTTTTCAACGGTTAATGAACGCCACCTTACGCGGCTTGACCTTCGATGCCTGCCTCATGTACCTTGATGATGTGATCATTTTCTCACGCACATTTAAAGAACACCTAGACCGATTCCGTAAAGTACTCTTGGCCTTACGATGTGCAGATCTGAAGCTGAAACCCCGCAAATGCAAACTTTTGAGACAATCAGTCCCCTACCTTGGTTTTCTAGTCTCATCCCAGGGTATTGCTGCTTACCCTGAAAAGTTTGCCCCCAGGTTTATTTTTTATTTTTTTTTATTGGGAACTTTGTTTGCTGGAAGCCCCCCCCCACCACTGTTAAGGGAATCCGGGTTTTCCTTGGTTTCGCCGGCTATTATCGCCGTTTCATTGAATGCTATGCTGAAAAAGCTGCCCCTATTGTTGCATTAACCAAGAAGAGTGCCAAGTTCGTGTGGAATACCGAACAACAGGAAGCTTTTGATTGTTTGAGAGAGAAAGTACTTGACGCTCCTGTGTTGGCCTTCCCTAATTTTGCCCGGCCATTCGTTTTGGATACTGACACATCTAATTTTGGCCTAGGTGCAGTCCTTTCTCAATTAGATGATGCTGGCCTAGAGAGACCTATTGCCTTTGCCAGTAGACCCTTTTCCAAGACAGAGTGTAATTACTCTGTCACCCGTAGAGAATTGTTGGCCATAGTTTGGGCCACCCACCATTTTAGAACTTACCTAGTTGGCAATCATTTTCTTTTGCGTACCGATCATGCTGCGTTGGCTTGGTTGAACTCCTTTACATCTCCCGAAGGTCAAGTTGCGCGTTGGAATGAGCATTTGGCAGAGTACGATTTTTCAATTGAGCATCGTCCTGGTGTCCGGCACGCGAACGCAGATGCCCTTTCCCGTATTGATTTAGGTAAACCCGAAAGCGAAATTTTATCCATGGCTGGTGAAATCCTTTCGGAGGCCCACGTCGGTGCCGTGACCGTGCGGCTAGATGATGATGACCTGACCACCTGGCAGACAGCTGTTGCAGAGGATCCCGACATCAGCTTAGTCGTAAAACGTTTACTAGATGCCCGCAGTAGTGACGGCGATGACCCTCGTGCAGCTGTTCAACAAGGGGATTCGAGTACTGTACGAACACTTTTGACCCAACAGAATCAACTTTTTTTATTTCCAATGAAATCCTTTACCGAACTATTGATGCAACCTTGGATAAAGAATCATACAAATAACTTGTCGTGCCTACCTCTTTACGTGATCAGATGCTTGCTCTGGCCAATGATCATCCATCTGGTCACTTTGGAGTAGATAGGACGTTAGCTAGACTCCGCTTAACGTGCTACTGGCCGAATATGTCTACTAGTGCTGCATTGTTTTGTCGCAACTGTAATGTCTGTGCAGTGTGTAAGAACCCCCGGCCTCTGCCTAGAGCAGAACTTTCCCATGTTAAAGCCGGCGAGCCGTTTGAGACCATTGCACAGGACATTATGGGCCCTTTACCTACCACTGTCAACAATAATAAGTATATTCTCGTCATTGGGGATTATTTTACGAAATGGCTAGAGATTATCCCATTACCTAACATTACTGCCCAAACTGTAGCCGTGGCCTTAGTGGAGCGGATTTTTGTCCGTTTTGGAGCCCCTGAGAAAATCCATTCGGACCAAGGATCACAGTTTTGTTCACAGCTGTTTCTTGAAATGTTCACGCAGTTCGATGTGAAAAAGACTCGAACGACCCCATATCACCCCATGTGTGATGGCATGATTGAACGAGCCAACCGCACCATTCAGGTCATGCTCCGTGCTTTTATTGATTCAGCTGATTGTGATTCTTGGGATGAACGGTTACCACTGGTTCAATTAGCCTACAATACGAGTGAACACAATTCCACTCGTTATACCCCATTCTTTCTATTGTTCGGGAGGGAGGCCCGTCTGCCCCTATCAATGATCTGCCCATCCGCATATACCCTTCCCAGCTCCATCACCCACACATCCTATGCGGTGTGGTTGAGAGATCGACTGACCGCTGCCTATAGGTTAGTCCGGAAACATTTGGATGTTGGCCACCGTCGTGCTAAAACCAACTATGATCTCAAAGCAAACGCCGATGCTTTGAAAGTAGGACAGTTTGTTTGGCTTTACCGACACCCCCAAGCTGGCGACAGCCCTAAATTGTTCCGGTATTGGGATGGCCCGTGGCAAGTTTCTGGTGTTCACTCCCCCTAGTCTATACCATAAAACGGCTTGGCGTCCATTCATCCCGGCGGACCACTATCATGACCGTCCACAGGAATAGATTAAAGCGATTCTTCGGCCCTGTGAACCTCCCACCTGTGGACGCCCCGGATAACCCCCCCCCCGCTCCCTTCATGGCGGGAGTCACCATTCCCCGTCTGCCCTCTTCATTTACGCCCTTGTTTTAAGATCTTCAGCCGAGTGTTCGTCCTCACTGTTGCAGTGCCCGTATAATATTTAGCTATTCCTCTTCAGCCGAGTGTTCGTCCTCGCTGTTGCAGTGCCCGTCGTAACATTTAACCATTCCCCTTCAGTTGAGCGTTCGTCCTCGCTGTCTCCCGCAGAGTGTTCGTCCTCTGTGGATTCTAACCCATACATTGCTGTTCTGGTTTGTTTGTGGGTGGCTGTGTGTCTTCCCCTGTGTTCTGTCTGGTATGCAGTACGCCGCCGCCACTAGCGGGCCGCGAACCACCCCCCACCCCTCGCCAACTCATCCGTCCCCTGATGCTACGGCAGGAGGATGCGCGCTGTGTCATCCGGCGATGCCAGGCTCAGCGGCAGGAACAGCGGCCACGGCGGCGAGTCCGATCGGCCGCCTACATGGCCCGGGCTCGCCGCCATGCCGCTGATTGGCGGACATGAAGAAACACTGAAAATCCATCTCCCCGTCCCAACCCGCCCCCACCCCCGCCCACGCCCCCCACCCCCTGCCTCCACCAGGTATAACCGTTTTCGTGATGACGTGGAGTTGGTGTCGGAGTGTGAGTTGTCTGAGTAAGAATTGTGTTATATGCGTTGTTAAATTTTCTGGTGTTGGTATGTGGAATGCGTTGTTAAATTGTCCGGTGTTGGTATGCTGCGTGCGTGGCGCTGTGTGTGGTGTGCATGTGCCCCCCCCCGACTGCCCTATATTCATGTATTGTGTACTGTGCATGTGATGAATACCGGTATGTGTTGTGTGTGAGTAGTGTATGTGCGGTTGTGTATGTGATTCCCGCTTTACACCCATCAACCATCCATTAGTTTGTTTGTTTTTTCTTCTCGTGGGGACACGAGTTCTTTCCACCCGGAGAGGGGGGTAATAGGGAGGTTTCGTTCTACGTAATTACGTATCAAAATCCGTATGTCGTACGCGCCGGGGAGCAAGGGAAACTTTCATACGTAAATCTCTCTATGGATTTCCGTAGGAAAGCTCTTTCCTACGTTGGGTCCTCCGTAGGACTTTTCGAAATATTTTTTCGCATTTTCCGCATTTGTCCATGGCAACATTCAAGCCGCGCGAAACACAAGGTACACACACCGTACACCACGTGCAAAATATCATGGAAAACGCGGTTTCGGTTCATGGTGCATGCGGTGGGCGCATGCAGCCAACGCGTCTCCAAAGCAACAACGCATGTTGATCAGTCGTGGAGAAATTACGTAGAGCGAAACCCTACAGCTCTTATTTTTACGTATGAAAATTCCGTGCAGTTCATACGTTATTAGAGAGGTTCCGCACTACGTAAAGTTGAGCAACTTTACGTTTGTGGGCGGGGAAAACCCGTGAATTCGCGAGTTTGCACTCCACTTACGGAAAGTTGTCTACGTAGAGTACGTAGATAGGGCTCTGATAACGTAGCTGGTCCGTAAGTTGATTGGGGTACACATTTATGACTCTCTCCCCATGTCGATCTGGTCGTACACTGCCGCGTTCGGAGTTGCCAAGGGCAGCTACGTGATTTGAAGACTCCGTATGGCGGAACACAGATGCGCATGCAGTTTACGTAAGACTTTCCGTAGATCAACTACGTTTTTTACTAACGTAATTACGTTATGCGGAACCACTCTATTTTCATACGTAATTCCGTAGAGCGAAACCTCCCTAATGTTGCATGAGTCCTTTAGCCCTGTACACATTTCACTGCACTGGGTGAATATGTCTCGAGACGAATTTAGCGGATCAACAACGCTTTGCTGGAGATAAATTCTCCTCTGGAGGACCTTCAGGGTACCTGGAAGGGTATAGAAGACGGGATCGCTCACGACGTTGGGAGAACATAGCAAACAACCTCCTCTTCAATTGAAAATTGGCCAAAAAGTTTGTGAAATGTATGTGCGCAGGTGCATTTCCACTGGCAAGCTAATCCCTCATTACGTCATCAGCGCTCGCTCGGCGAAATTCAAAAGTCGTCTTCCTGCTCGACTCGATCGCTTCTGGAGACTCGTTCTTGTTCGAGGGGTCTTCTCTTTCACCTACCTTCGTCTTGGCATCGAAAACTCGGCGTCGAAAATGAAGCCGGAGTGCCCCTTTAAGCGGGATTCACAGAAGCTTTTTTGCGATGCGACACGCGATGCGACAGCCGCGAAACCGGGAAATCCCCAAATCACAACCATTGCGGACCCTACGCAACTGACGCAACTGGGCCATCGCAGGCCATCGCACAAGCTCAACTTTTGCGATGCGACGCGATGCGACAAGCGATTTGGCGTACGATTTTGACCTTTTCTACAGCAAAGTTGTACAAAGGTTCAAGAGTTGCCTATAAATTTGTAAAAGTTGTATCAAACCGCGCGAATATCATGGTGACGTAGCCAAATAAGCAAGATGTTGTCGCATCACTGACTTCTTCTGTGAATGGTATTTCGCAAGTTCGCATCGCACGCGTCAGTCGCAGATCGCGTCGCATCGCGTGTCGCATCTAGGCACCGGCGGATTATGCCGGCATAATTATTGGCATAATTTGATGGTTGAAAATTTGGAGCATAATTTGGAATTCTCTCGGAGGTAGGAGCATAACTACACGATTATACCAAAGTTGTAGTATGTAGGCTATACAATTGTGTACAATGCACCTGATCAGTGCTGGTGGTCTGCAATCAGCATGGCAAAGGGTTCGGAGGTCATGCAGATCGTGTTTTCAATGAAAAGCAGGGTAGAAATCATGGCAATGCATTATTGTATGCTCGAACTCGTCTTCTTCAAAGTTCTTTCTCACACTGACACAGTACATGTAGCAGAAGATGCGAGTGAATCAGCCTTCATCAGGTATCCCGGCGCTGACTCTGCCGTTCTCGGGCGTTCTGGAGTCGACGGGATGTCTGTCCTGACGTTTCCTGGGACCGGCGCTGACTCTGCCGATCACGGGCGTTCTTCTTCTTATTATTATTATACTGACGGCAACTAACATCCATTCTGATTGCATTTACTCGTCTCCCTACTTCGTATTTCTTTCCAGAAAATCTCCCCATAAAGCAGGGAGTCGTTTACATAATATGGCTCCCTGCTATACATCTACATGACTGTATATACGTTATAATTATTATGCTATCGGCCTACATGCGATTCCCAGGCTGGTCGACAGGCGGCCCAGCCAGCCTGCTAGTGGGATCTCGGCCTCGCACACATATCCACACAAAATGTTACTGCACTGAATGCATTCCCCCGATACACTTCGCATATATACTCATTCTCTTGATGGTACCGTACTCTTGATGGTACGGGACAGGTACAGGATAGCGCCAGGCATGTCGATGGCACAAACAAACAAAAATATTGTGGCCAGCTTTCTTTGCTGGTACGGTACAGTACGGGACAGATACGGGATAGCGCCAGGCGTGACACAAACAAACAAACAAACACACAAACACCAAATTAAAGCTGTGTGGACCCTGGCTAGCGCCAGACATTACTGAAGTTACGTCTTCTGCATAGCTACGGGAATAAATTCTACTCTCGGAGTATAAAACAATTCACTTTTTGTAGGAATCTACGCACGCAAGGTCGAGAATGGTGTGTTTTAACTGCAGTTAAAGGGGAAGTGCATCGATTTTTCGAGTATGGTCCAGAATAAAGACAATTTGATGTCGGTTCGAATGGCATATCTCTCGCTTCCATACGATAAGCCAAACTTGCCAAATCGACAATTGTATGCTCACGTTGCCATAGCGACCAGCGCAGTGATGACGTACGAAAGGCTTAGCTCCACCACAGAGAAGGTCGATCACTGCAGAATTTGGTCATTTTCAATTGGTTTATTGTATTCACGAAGTGAAAGAAGGGCTGTGTTCAATGCTGTTAGTGCAGTGAACTGTTTGTTAGTAGTCCTCTCGGTTGTGTACTGGGACGTGACACCGACAGGAGAAAGCTGGAGTGCGGAGACACCAGCAGACAAGCGAAAATAGTGACGAACAAAATGCTGAAATCTTGGTTGGGACAAATCAGACGTTCAGCATTTCCCCCAACCAAGGACCATGCCGTTTGCTCTTTCCACTTCCTGAAGATGAATGTGATGCTTCCTGGCGACTCTGCTATCTCTCGTAACATCTTCTGAAGCCAGGTGAGACGACGGGTGGTGGAGATTGACGAATGAAATAATGTCGTAGGTTTGAAAGTTTGCAGAAAATGTCTCAGGAGAGATGGCGAATTCCAAGCATCTTGTCCTGGAGGAAACCATTTCCTAGGCGCAGTCAGCCTAGGGAAATGCATGAGAAGGGCGATAAATAGTTCACGACACTAACAGCATTGAACACAGCACTTCTTTCACTTCGTGAATACAATAAGACAATTGAAAAATGACCAATTTCTGCAGTGATCGACCTTCTCTGTGGAGGAGCTAAGCCTTTCATACGTCATCACTGCTCTGGTCGCTATGGCAACGTGAGCATACAATTTGCGATTTGGCAAGTTTGGCTTATCGTATGGAAGCGAGAGATATGCCATTCGAACCGATATCAAATTGTCTTTCTTCTGGACCCTACTCGAAAAATCGATGCACTTCCCCTTTAACTGTTCTGACACTTTCATGTTGTCTGGTGATGGTGCGCTTGCACTTCAGTTGTTAAAAAAATTAATAAAAATAATAAGTATACGTGATGGGCATGCCGCCTTGCACAGCAGCGTGTGCAACCATTGCGAGTCATTGGTGATGATCACGCTCTCTTCTCCTCATACGTTATTATTATTATTATTATTATTAAGAAAAGGGTTTGCTCCCCACACCGGAGCTCGCGCTATTCCGCCGACTTTACTTGACACTTGACTGACTCACGACTGCCATCCAGAGCACACGAGAAGTCCATCGAACCTTCGACTCGGCAAACCTGCAAGAAAGCACCACTCCCTGCTCAATACACAGTGTTTCGGGGAATTCACCCCTCATCAGTTGAGCTTGAGATGAGGGGTGAATTCCCCGAAACACTGTGTATTGAGCAGGGAGTGGTGCTTTCTTGCAGGTTTGCCGAGTCGAAGGTTCGATGGACTTCTCGTGTGCTCTGGATGGCAGTCGTGAGTCAGTCAAGTGTCAAGTAAAGTCGGCGGAATAGCGCGAGCTCCGGTGTGGGGAGCAAACCCTTTTCTTACAAATCATCGCCGAGGTCGCAACCACTACTTCGTATTATTATTATTATTATTTTTTTAAATGAGGTCGGGGGCGGATAATACTTTAAAACGAAGGTAAGTTATGGGTCGCAAATATCCACGCAAACACACATCCAGTCATAATAAGGCACTTGTCATAAGTATCCGAACGTTTTCGGTCCCTTCTCATCAAGGATTATACAGGGAATGGCTCAAGCTGGAAAGACTAAAACTTATATAGCGTAAAGATAATTAGATAACAACACTCGTGACAAGGTGGAAAATTATCAAGTTTAGCACGACACAAAACTCGAAGGAAAATAATAATAGTGACAACAACATAGTGAGCAAATGAAATTACATTGTTACCACCTCGACGAGGAGTAACACCAAACAATTGTAGCGACAACACATTTTCTTTCTGTACGCAAAGTTCAGGATCTAACTTACGGATATACAAAGCTTCTAACACAGCCAAATGTAACGCACATCTACCACGTGACAATATTGAGAAAACATTATCACTGTACAACTCACGACAATTGGTACGGGCTGACTGATGTTGCTTGATTGACGAAGTGCGATTCTTAGCTCCACTGGGTGTAACCGTGTTGTCTCCTCCAATGTCCCGTCATCTCGCCTCTTCGTGGCATCACCACTATCTGTCTCTTCGCGTTTCCGCGGCCTTCCACGTTTCTTGACACTAACCGTTGGGTGCGCGATACCCGGTGTCCTTTCCGTTACGTATCCTCCATTGCGGATTTCTATTGAGCTTCTTACTCCAACTTGTCCGGTGTCCGATATTGAGGTTAGTTTTCGCGGTCTACCACGTTTTCGAATATTGACTGTTGTTGTCACTTCCGTTGTCGTTGTACGTTCGTCCTCATCAGTCCGTATTTTCACTTGGCTTCTCGTCACCCTTTCCGACGCCGACAGATCCTTTGTCAGTTTCGGTGGTTTACGTGTGGGTCTTTCACCATCTTTTATGCTGTTCTCAGCTGGCCCGTGTCCTACACACGCAGAGGAGGACGGGCATGCAGTCACATCTTCACGGGAAGAGGAAGATCC